TYSRCATTTTTTCCCGGCAATSTTTTTTTGAAATATAGGTTCATGCTATGTTATCTCGTGTGTTTCTTCCAACATTGGAATTACCTCTTATCACTTATCCGCTGGCCATGAATAACACATTAATGGATTAACGCTAGAGGATTGGAATTATAATGTTACTCAGGAGGAAGAGCATTATACTAACGAGAATATAACCATTATGCAGGCTCCATCTTTTTTGTCTGAAATATTAGAAACCAATTATAGCAATCATAATTTTGAATTGACACCAAACAGGTGTTTTTCCTGAGTCTGACACCTWCATGAATTGAGAGTAATTTGACAAGTATTTGACTATTCAAARATATCAAGAGCTTCTTTTTCCACACACAAAATATTGATGACAACCTTCTTATTAAACTGTTTATTTGCTGTAAACATCATTTGCAAAACGTTGTCAGGTACAAAAAGATTACTTCAAAGACCGAAAGACACCATTGTTAATGATATGCAGTTTATAAAAACTAGTACTGCTGGCACCAATTAATCRTGCATTTCTGTTATATATGTATCGAGCTAAAGTCTCAAAATATATCTCAAAGTCTACTATATAACGTGAAATTATGGAKGAAGGAAGCATTGGATTCAAAGTGATCTTCGCGGTTCTGATAATTATAACCATCGCTGGAAATACTCTGGTTTGCCTTGCAGTACGTCGCTTTCCATTCATGAAAACACCAATGAACTACCTTCTTGTCCATCTTGCTCTATGCGACATGTTAACAGCGCTTTTTCTTTTCCCTCGGTTTGTTCTGTTGGGATTTTACCAGCATCCAAGCGGTCCTCTGGGAGACTTCCTTTGCAAATTTGTAACTAATGCAAGTTTGTCGTGGATGACAACATTTGCAGGTTTATATACTCTAGTCGTCATTGCCTGTGAGAGATATAACGCGATAATGAAGCCACTTGCTCCAAGGTTCTCCAACACGAGGCTCAAGGTGGTCATTGGAATATGCTGGTTGATAGGCTTCCTGGTTTGGCTTCCAACGGTTGTGTCTGTTGCTTACAACCCTCCTACMCAGTCTTGTGAAATGTTTTGGAAAGTCCCAAATGGTGCCAAGRTAGACTGCCTTCTCTTTCTAATCTTAGGCACAATTGCGCCGTCTCTCATCATGGTCTTCCTTTACAGTAGAATTGTACGAAAACTGTGGTGCTCTATACAAGACAGAGATTCAGATGTTGCCCAAAGATCACTTCTGAGTGCGCGCAAGAACATAACGATGTCCCTCATTGTAGTGACTATTGTGTTTTACGTTTGTTGGGTTCCCAATACAATGTATTACTTCATTATCACATTTTTCTCAGAAGCAGATCCGTTAGAGTACCTTCACCTTACCACGCATATCTTACACATTTTGAACTCCTGCACCAATCCCTTTATATACGCACTTAGAGACGGCAGGTTCAGGAGATGTATTTGGTGTCTACTTTGCGCAAATGGAAGAAAAATTGATCCTCGGCAAGGGAACATTTTAATGAATCGCATTCCACCAGCGTAGACCAAAATAAATATTGGAATGTATTTGAATGTGTATATATACTAACATTGGTCGGTTTCAATACTGTGTCGGCGCATCAAGTTATGTGATTAGACTAGAGAGGCGCTTAACTTTCAAAGTGCTTCGTCTTTTGGAATAATTCCGAGTTCCCGTCTCCCAGGTTTTAATTTTAGTGATGAAAGAACCCGCCAAGTGTGGTCAGGGCTCCACAATCCTACTGTATGGAGCACATGGAATACTGAACAAAATTTCAGAGAAAGAAGGGAAATTCTTTACAATTTTGTTGTGGTCAAAAAACTCAGAAATTTCATAGGAAAATGGAACGATTGGAAAATAGAAAGAATATATATTGAGATCAATAGAAACTTAATGTTTAGGGAAAAAAATATAATAAATACGGTCGAATTTGAAAAGCATGGCCCTCTAATAAGACTAGATAATTGCCATGTGACTTAAGAAAATATTCACTTTCCGTTCGTTTAAAATGAACTAAAATGTCAGGTGTTTTTGAGTGAAGAAATGAAAAAACATTCAAATTCTATATGGACATTAGAGAATATTCCGCGTGCAGAACTGAATTGGAAAATTGTAAATGTATTTTAAGTTGGACAAATTGGTTGTATTTGACATAAACATTTTCAAAGTGMAATTYAAAAMATAWATATATTCAGTCCATRAAAGAAAATTTCAAGTTAAAAACGTCAATTTAACGTTTGGACAGGCTTTTACAAAACGGTTATGTAAATTACAGGGTTATGCAAGTCAAAGCAAACATTATTAGGCTATCATACATTTGACACCTTTCATCCTCACGGTACTTGGTCTTGTATATAATATCTAGTTCCGTTTTGGTTGGTGCATTTCAATTACCACATTACGATCATTAGACATAGTGAGGTCTGATGCTAAAATATAGTCAACATTAGTTTAGTAACGGAGAGATCGCCACCTGCTCGTAAGATATGTGAAAATTATGTCTTTATATTGGTCTTGTCATTTGCTGATGTAAATATGGCTATTTAAAAAATGTTGTCAGAGCTGAATGGCAACGGCTCTGAAAAATGGCCACACAAATTGCTCATGGATGTGTTCATTCATCTTCTGTAAAACAATTGCAAACAAAACAAACCATAATCGAAGATTCTCATTTCTCATACTCATTAATTATTCATGAGGTATCCAGACAATTCCTGATTGTAATTTGTACCAAGTGCAGTAACTGGATACCAGAGGAAGTACTCCTACGTTGTATTCTATCTTATTTCCAGTTACTTCTACCTTATTTCCAGTTACTTCTGCCTTGTTTCCAGTTACTTCTAGCTACTAATAGCTAATGATAATCAAAGTATTAGAAACAATCAATTTAATATAGAATTAATTTATTAGGGAATTGGAGAATAACAAACGGTGCTTCTTTATTCAAAATTTTGAAAACTGAAAACCTTGGTGGAGATGCAATAAATCAAAATATTTCTGTTATATGTATTTCCTTCGCTTTTTTCCCCTCCCGAATAATTAATGAGCATGAGAAGTCGTTCAAAGTCCTCCAATTCGGACTGGACGGGATTTCAAGTCCTTGCAATTAGTTAATTAATTACGCGGACTTGAAACCCGGTCTAGTCCTCATTGTCGGACTTTAAACATTACTTCATAGAAATGACAATATCGAGTGAGTAAAATGCCAATAGCTTTCGATCGGGAATTCGCCGTTCTTCCAGAAAACATTATGCAAAATAGCTATAGCTAGGATAGACAGACCAGGGAATTCCCTGCAATGTTCACGATAACCATCACTGTGAATATGATTTTAAAGGCGATAAAGACCTCCTGAGAGAGGGCCGTCATTTTACTGGAATTTTGGTAACAACAGATGAAGGTCTTTATTATGTAGGCGAAACATGCCTTGGAAAGGATGTAATTTTTCTGATTGAATTTCTCAAAAGGTTGTTCAATATTAGTTTTTCAATTTGGTACGAGTTCATTTGGTAAATAGACTAAATAAATATAAGCGTTAAGTAGGCTTCACTCCGTTTCGAACAACACAAGAAATGTTTTTATTATCATTCTACAAAATAAAGTTCCAATATAGCAATAAAAGGTAACACTAGACACGTTACATAAAAACATCAGCGTGCGGTTTATGATATTCATTAAATTTCCCATAAGGATTGTAATTTTGAATTTATAGCTATCAAAATAAACTTTTAATAATAAGACAGGAGTTGAAGCATCGCTACTTTAAAATTAAATTGAGAGTGAGAAAGCAGTTGGATTTATGTCATGTGTTTTGCAATATTGCATATTCCATTGAACATCTGAACGAGCTGACTCTACTATTGGGTGAGCACAGCTCCATAACATTTACGTCGTTTGTAGAAAAAAACTTCCTTAAGAATTAGAAATTCATATGACCGTTTCGAAGATTTTGTGGTGTAATATCTTGTGGGTTGTGTGATAAATTTCTTAGAATTCAGTAACACCTGCAGGTAATAATATACCTGAATAAAGGATTTTTTTTAAATATTTTAGTGGAATATTCGAATGGACGTGTGTGTCTTGTGCACAGAGAGAGCAATTGGCACGTAATATTCTCTAGACTAGCAAACTCGATAATACAGTTCAGTTTCGCGATCTCTTTTACGCTGTGTTAGCTTCAACTGTATGCAAAATATTCAGAAATTTAGATAAAACTCAATCTTCCATCTTTTTTATCCATTCTCGATTGAATATCAATCATAATGAGATTATTCGGATAGTATCGTCAAGTTTTTGAGAAAGTCACTTCCATTTACAAGAGGATAATTTTCAATTTTCTTAGGCTTTGTACCTCTTATGTTTAATATGTTGATTGGACCCGTCCTAGTCTCTTCTAATCTTTGAGGCAGTCCAAACTATTCTCCTGTCTTTTCTTCTCGATAAGGAAATCCGTAAGCTATTATCTGCAGTAATATTTTGGATTGTCATTGATTTCAAAGTTTTTCCACAGGTAGCCCAAACTTATTATCAGAGGACAATGACGTAATGTGTTGAACCGTTGATAATTTTTGTTAATTAGTTTCAAGGTAGGTTCGTAATAAAGCCTTCCAAAACCACTGAAAACTGTAAATAATTATCAGAAATCTCTCAAAAAGTTAGAATGATCAGTAATATTAACATAAAAGCGTCTCTGGAGTGATTTTGAGCACTTCGAAGATTCGCTCCCTATGAACACGCATACCCACCGAAGATTTTTGAGCGACTTTCCGAACTTTGAAAAAATATTTCTCTGCACAGAGTTGACGGGGCGACACTCAGAATGGTAGGTTGGGATGATGGTTTATCTGAAAATCACTGATAGGACTTTCGCTGTAAGATATTGAGCGTGTAGGGAGAAATAATTTTTTGATTGCGAGCGTTTGGAAGCCGCTTCGAGCGGGAGTTGCAAACCTTTCCTAAATATATGTACACTAGGAAGGGAGCGAATCTTCGAAGTGCTCAAAATCACTCCAGAGACGCTTTTATGTCAATATTACTAAACCAACGTGTTATTTAATGATCATTCTAACTTTTTGAGAGATTTCTGATAATTATTTACAGTTTTCAGTGGTTTTGGAAGGCTTTATTACGAACCTACCTTGAAACTAATTAAAAATTCAAAAATTATCAACGGCTCAACACATTACGTCATTGTCCTCTGATAATAAGTTTGGGCTACCTGTGGTTTTTCTTAAAATGTAACCCTACTCGTAGAAGTATTTCCAAATATTTACTTCCCCGGGGATTTGATTTTTAAAATATCCCTGGAGAGGGGTTTTCGATTTGAATCTATCTCTGGGGCGGGGAAATTTGACACGGAAAATTTTAAACTAATGGGCGCCATTTTGAATGCCGAGTAATCCTGGAAACTAGTTTTATCCAGAAGTCAACTGGAGCGTTTCACGCACCTCGYGATCACCTTGYGCGGAGAAGGTAAATATCAAACTACTTTCACTTGATTTATCATGTAAAATGCGATGTGATTAAATGATTAAACTTATTACAAAAATGAATTTAGAATTCAGTCATTATTTGTCCCTTTGTTCATAGCTCAATAACCTGTAATAATCTAGTATGAAACACTTTTTTGTCCCGAGGGCCGGGAATTTGATCGATACCAATGGACCAGGGGTAGGGATTTTGAATTTTAAAAATCGAAAATGTCAAATTCCCCGGGGTTTACCGCCCCCCCCCCCCCCACATCCTGGGGCAAAACATTGATAGGTGCATAAAGGGTCTTCATAAGTCAATTGGAAGGTTTTTCACTCGAATTCTAGTGTCAAACTCCGCCAATATATGTCGTGACGAGATACAAGAGGCGATTCGCTCCGATCAACGAGCCTTTATTTTTTCGGTGCCTTCTTCTCGATACGTAAAAGTTTGCATGCGATTTATCCACACGAGAGCCAATCAGAAATTGTTTCTCATCCACATCACTCAGAAAACGACATGTGGCAGACTATTATGGTAAATTAAAAATAATACATTACATCATTGTTTTCTTGTGGTATTCACGAGCGAACATTCTAGGAATAAACAGACTTCAAGCTGTAAAGCTAACGATAAACATCCTCAAGAGAAATTTAACCGATGTCGACTAAGAATTATTCGACTGAGGTGTACAGATCTCAAAATGACTCGATTACGAATTATTCGACTGGGATCTTGTGCAGATCTAAAAATGGATTGGAGTCAAAACAAGTCATTACTTCAACTACACATCAAGAAAACTCGTTTGATTCCATCGATTCTTTTAGTATCCTAGGCTTAAAAAGCAGTCTCCGAAACGAAGTTTTCAGTCATCCTACTAATAACATAGAATATCACTTAAACCAACATGACTGGATACTAGTATTTCTAGAGAACAATTATAACGCCATCGACGATGACTCTCTCAGATACAGCCTCAGCGAAGAACTTTTGGATAAGATTGGATTCGAAAGGGATTGCAATGCGGTGAAGATCATATTGTCTAGATCGAAGCTAGTCCAAAATCACGTTGAACCCATAGATATTGTAAAGGGTTTTGTTGTGGATGAATTTAAGTACAATCCCGTTCTGGAAAATGGTTGTGACTTGGCGACAGAAGAATTTTTCCAAGAACAGAAAGCTGAACTTAAGGTTGTTCACTTCGGTAAAACAGATGTGTTGAAGTGTGAAAAACACAAAAAGAGATTCCGATTCAAGAAGAGCGAAAGAAGAATTTACTCGGTCGGAGACTTATTTACTGTCTATACTGACGACTCCGCCATTGTTGAGGAAGATAGTTTACGCCAAGAATACAGCGTGCTCTTTCATGGAACAGACATCAAAAGCGCCGTTGATATTTCATCGGGAGGTATTGACGTAAGTATGGGTTCACAAAAACGAGACTTTAGCGATGGAAGTGGTTTCTATTTGACCGACGATTTCGAACACGCCGAGAACTGGGCATTTAGCATGACGCAAAAGCCTGTTGTCTTGATTTTTAAGATTCCTAACTCTTGTCTCGAAAACGTAAACATTTTGAGTTTGTCTGGAGAAGAGAGACAGTGGAAAGAGATTGTCGATGCAAATCGCTCAGGGATTTTAGATAGGGAGATGAGGAAGACTTTGAAAGACTACGACGGAATCGAAGGCCCTGTTTCCGGTTGTTATGAAACTGATAGCTTGGTGGATTCTCGACAAGCTTTGCCCAATACGTATCAACTTTGCATCACCAATGAAGACTTCGCTGACAAGATTAGCGAATATTTAAGTACAATTGTTGTTTACAACCGTATCTGAACATTGAAAAAGGTCTGAAAACATTAACGTTCCGGTAGTGAAACACAGTAGTGACTTTAGAGTGGCTTTCGTTGTCGGGGATTTGTAATATTCAGGTAAATTGCAAGTATTTTTAATATGCTTTTTCGTCTCGCGCTACAATGCTTCCATGAAATTTGACGCTGAAAGGACATATGGGAAATATGAACTTTTCTAATAAATATATGGTATTGCCCAAAACGAATGCACTTATTTTCTATTCTTTAATTGCATTTTAAAAAAGGTTGGAAGCGTCACTTGTCACGGCTGAATCCCGAATAGAAAGGTCCTTTAATTGCACTGGAGACGTGAAGTTATCAAGCAAGTCATTCGCTGTTTATGTTTATAATCAAAATACCTTAACTGTGGTTCTCCTTAAATTTGTCTCTACTTTGCACGTAAATAATGAAGGCTTTTCCAATGTAAGAAAAAATAGACTTTTACTCGGGTAAACCCAACTATGAGTCAGTGTTGAGTTCTATACCACAATGAAAGAATGAACCTTGCACACTGTAGATAAATATCGCATGTGAAGTCCACCGATTATTCCTGTCAAATAACAAGTTGATCACTACCATGGAAGCGATGTACTGAGTGTTACAAACTGACAATAGTCTCGGTCAACCGTTTATACTTCTTTGTTTTTTTTCGTATTGCACCTGAATATCTATTAACTGAGACGTTTCTTTTACAAACTGCTTATAACTACTCTCAATATTAATCCCTATGGTACTTAAATGTCCTTACTTTTGAATTAAGCTCACTTTTCATCAGTTATTGTCTTAGAGCTCCAATTAAGTAAAAAAAGACAGTTATGTGAAAAGATAAATTTAACACCGTAAAAAAAGTATGTGGAAAAACTTACTGACGTTTCGGATGTTAATCCTTCGTCGGAGGTGTTAAATTTATCTTTTCACATAACTGTTTCTTTAGAAACACCGACGCAGCTCACACTAGTTTACYGCTAGTTCCCACCATTTTAAGTGAAAAAAGATTACATAATGTATTCTAGAAATTCCATTAGGTAAATCTCTTATAGTGACAGTATATATTTTCCAAGACCATATGTAGTGTTCGGTATAAATTTGATCTTGTGCCGCACCTTGTCAGCAACTGTGTGTGTGTGATAGGGAGTCAGTGTGTTGTAATTTTTAGAACGGAGGTAAGTCAGTGTGTAACTATATAGTGGGTGGGTGTATTCAGAGACAGAGACGAGAGAGAACGCGATGTGGGTGACAATCAAGCTAGAGAACAGACTCTCTTTGGACTCAAAAAATAAGGGAACTGTCGAAAATCCTTATCAACTATTTCGTGGCGAATTTATGTTTTGTACATGTGGGGTTTCTGTGCTTGGCTTTCAAGCTTAAGACGTCTATTTGTTAAAGAATATGACAGAATGTAAGTGTCTATCAAAACATTCTGCCATTTTATCGCAATGTAAACAGATCTGGTAGCTTCCTTGAATTATACTAACGGATTCTCTATCCAATTTGACCCATGGTCCTTCCACGAAGGAAACCTCCTTTAAATTTTTTTGTAAATCTCGATTCTTTTCTTTTCCAAGTCTGTACATTTTAACAAATTCCTTGAGTTCCTTGTCCTTTCCAATTAAGTTCTTTGATCTTCCTCGATAGCTTTCAAATTCATGATTTGGGATCTTAAAAATCAAAACAGATTGATGTCTGCCCATACGACGGAATGCCCAGGTCACAGCCCCGGTTTCTTCGTCGAATTGATCAGTCAAATAAAATCCTTTTCCACAACTAAAATCTTGTGCTCTTTGTTTGTTTAGCTTATCTAGGCAAATTCCATTCTCTATGATATTTTTAGCTGAGTCGTGGTTGGTGCCATGAAATAGGATTTTGTAGCCATTTTCTGTCAAGTTTTTGAGAAAGTCAGTTCCATTTATAAGAGGATAATTTTCAATTTTCTTAGGCTTTGTACCTCTTATATTTAAAATATTGATTGGACCCGTCCTAGTCACTTTTTGAAACTGGCTTTGAGGCAGTTCAAACCATTCTCCTGTCTTTTCTTCTTGATAAGGAAATCCGTAAGTTATTCTCTGCAGTAATATTTTTCGAAGGAGATAATTCAGATGTTTGATATTTTTGATTGTTGCTCTTGTTGCTCTTGTCGAGAGAGGTTCTTCACAAAAAGCCATAAAGGGTCTCGGAAGTTATCACTTGCCTGTCTGCACGAATACTAGTGTCAAAGTCCGCCAGAATATGCCGTTTGCAACCTGACGAGATACAACAGGCGATTTCTTATTGGCTTTCGTTCGGATCAACGAACGTTTTATTGGTCGATGACTTCTTCTTCCGGTTGAACTAACTCGATACGTAAACGTTTTGCATACGATTTCATCCACACAAGAGCCAATCACAAATTGTTTCTTATGGACATCACTCAAAAAACGACATGTGGCAGACTATTGTGGTAAAGTAAAAATAATTCCTTACATCAATGCTTTCTGTTATATAATGGTATTCACGAGTGAGCATTCTGGGAGTAAAAGCAGTTCAAGCTGTAAAGCTAAAGAAGAGCATCTCAAGAGAAATTTAACCGATGTCGACTAAGAATTATCATTTGGCTGAGGTTTACAGATCTCAAAATGGCTTGGAACCAAAACAAGTCATTACTTCGACTACACATCAAGAAAACTCGATCGATTCGAACGATTCTTTTAGTGTCCTTGGCTTAAAAAGCAGCCTCAAAGATGAGGATTTTAGTCATACTTCTAGTGGCATAGAACATCACTTAAAAAAAAGTGACTGGATACTGGTATTTCTAGAGAACAATTATGACGCCATCGACGATGACTCTCTCAGATACAGCCTCAGCGAAGAACTTTTGGATAAGATTGGATTCGAAAGGGATAGCAATGCGGTGAAGACCATGTTGTCACGATCGAAACTGCTTCGAAATGACGTTGATCCCATAGATATTGTAAAGCGTTATGTTGTGGATGAATTCAAGTACAATCCCGTTTTGGCAAACGGTTGTGACTTGGCGAAAGAAGAAGTTCGAGTTCAGGAACAGAAACCTGAACTAAAAATTGTTCACGTTGATACAACAGATGCGGTGATGGATAAAAGAGAAACTTACTCGGTCGACGACGACATATGTGATGACGACGTGGTGCTCTTTCATGGCACAGACATCAAGAGCGCCTTTGATATTTCATTTGGAGGTATTGATGTGTGTACGGGTTCTCAAAAGCGAGACTTTAGCGATGGAAGTGGCTTCTATTTGACCGACAAATTCGAAAACGCCAAGAATTGGGCACTTAGCATAACGCAAAAGCCTGCTATCTTGATTTTTACGATTCCTAAGCATTTTCTCAAAAAAGCTAACATTTTGAATTTGTCGAGCGAGATGCAATGGAAAGAGATTGTCGACGCAAATCGCTCAGGAATTTTAGATAGGGATATGAGGAAGACTTTGAAAGAATACGACGGAATCGAAGGCCCATGTACTGGTTTGAGTGAAACTGATAACTTGGTGGACTCTCGACAACCTTTGCCCAATACGTATCAACTTTGTATCACCAATGAAGACTTCGCTGACAAGATTAGCGGATATTTAAGTAAAATTGTTGTTTACGACCGTATCTAAACATTGAAAAAGGTCTGACAACATTTACACTGAAACGCACAGTATTCTTAGTGACATTCTTGACATACAGTGGTTTTTAATATCTAAGATTTGTTATGATTAAGTTGCCCACCACTATTGTATCTCGTGCTTGTTTTTCTGAGGTTTGACAAACTCTGAAGGACACAGGAAATATGAAACATTCTGATAAACTTATAGTATTCCTCAAATCGGATGGACATTTCTAGTTAGTACATGAATAATAAACGATTACGGGCGCTTTCCTGAGTTTCGGACTGACTGGCCATTCCGAAAGAGAATGCCATTACTAATCATTCCTGTTCCGGCAGAAGAGTCAATTTCTAAATTTTATCCAATTGTATAATGGACACCTGGAAAATCACTGAAAAATCTGGATAAAACGCATCATGATTTACTTCTAAATGCGCCGGTATGGATGGCCAGTTCTGACTAAATGGAAAGCGCTCTAATTATCCCAATATATAGGTTATATAAGTCATAGTAAAAATAGATTTCATGCTCTTAGAGCATTTAACTCGGGTACTTTCAACAATGTGTTAGTGTTCAGTTTCTGTACCACAATGAACATTGAACAGTAGAACCGTGGTAGAATTAGACAAATTGTATTGTATTACAACTAGAGTATAATATTTCTGATTGAATTTCTTAGAAGGCTGGCCAATACATTGTGTGCCGTATTGGCTTGAACAGTTGATTTGTGAATGCTGTTGAGATTGATTGTTGTCAATTTTCAGGACTCGAGAACAAAATCAAGATGTAGAGTGTGGTTCGGTTCGGCACAGTTGTAATTTAGGCTGTTATGGATTCCAGTCCTCCTCGGTCAAATCAATGGTAAGCATTTAGAGTGAGTTGCTGATGTTGTATTGACATGGTTCCTTCGCTGAGACTTTTCAAGTACAATAGATCATCAAGCTGACATGTTTGCTTCCATGTGTGACTTCGGTATGATGCGAGCAATGGCAATGTTTGCTCGCGGGGAAAACTCCGACGAGTTGGGCACATATTGCTTCAGTTTAGAAGGTTGTTTTTTAACTCTAAAAAGAATTCAAAATAACAAAATCGAAAACCAAGAATAAACTCTTTCCTTTTTTCATATATATCTGTATTTCAAATTTACCTATGTAACCTCATACAGCCTTTTGCACAAATTATGAGACATTTTTATATATATAAATATACCTAACCAAATATCAAAAACACCCCAGAAATTATGGGATACCGTCGCTGATATTTTGTCATGATTGCCTAGCATCAGGTTGTTACAGACAAAATATCAGCGACGGTATCCCATAATTTCTTGGGTGTTTTTGATATTTGGTTAGGTATATTTATATATATAAAAATGTCTCATAATTCGTGCAAAAGGCTGTATTGTAGTTAATTGGTATAATTTTATTAATATATATGATATAATTATGATCTCTCAATTTTGTTCTTGATCTGGTAGGATGTCTATTTTTCTGTCGTCACCAGATCCATAAATAACATTACAGAAGATATTCTGAGGTAATCTAAGTATAGGTAATCTAATGTGCTCTTTTCTTCCGAAAGATATTGTATAAGTTGTCCTTCATTTGTCAGCCATATTTGATAATCTTAGCTTATTTGGAAGTACGTAAAGACTGGTTTTTCTCGATGTTATCGAATTTTAAAGTTTGAAATCGCGAAAACACTTCTGAACAATCGGCCATTTTGTTTGTTTCCATATATGGCATGGATTTGCTAAAGGAAGCCCAAAACTAAAAAGCACAGGGATCCCGCACGAATGACATACAATTCTTTGATATGTAGTTGGCATTCCTGTCTTGGTACATTTGCTTACTCGTGTATCTCAGTCCTGGACATGGCGTCCTGTACAACAGCTATGAATGAAATCATCTAAACACCGTCAGCTTGTGTTGTGTTCTTTCCATGTCGTGTATTCATTCATTGGTATAGTATCTTAATTATGCATCTCAGTTCTGAACTTGGCGTCCTGTCCTTGTAAATAAGCTTGAAGTACTCTAAAAAGCATCAGATTGAGTTGTGCTCTTTTCTTTTCTTGTGCCACTCCATTGATAAAGTTGCTTTATGCATCTCAGTCTCCTGATTTCCTGTAGCACTTATAAATAAGGTATTCTAAAGGGCTTCACCTTGTGTTGTGCTCTTGTCTGCTGGTAGGCTTGGTCTTCTTGTATTCCTCCATCGGCACAGCAGCTTACTCATACATCTCCTGAACCTAGAGTCTTGTACAGCGTATACAAATGGGTTGACGCTTGAATTTAGAAGCAGGAGCACATGACTGATCTTGTAGAACACCGGCGCTACTGTAGTCAGGGTCTCGTTAGTGGACGGAGTCTGTGGCGTGTAAGAAGTAATAAAATAATACAAAAGATTC